GGTGCGCCCCATCAGCCAATTTTTTACCCATCCAACTGTTTTAGATGGGAACTGTTTTTACCCATCCAAATGTTTTAAATAAACATGATTATGATTAAAATGGTAATTTCCCCAAGAAGATTAAAAGTTATCTATTTCTACCTAGAATCTGATATGAATCTCCTTTCAATTCTAAGCTTTCCATTTATTTAGTCTACATTCATTAACATGACACTTATATGTAGCAGAAGGTCCAGTTGTTCTTTAGTAATCAAGAGGATGGGTGTTCCAGGGTCAGATGAAATTTACTTGCAACCTAACTGGCAACCAGCACTGAAAATTCAAGCCCCTGACCTATTTATGCCACAGGTGTAGTGCAAGCCACAAAACACTGGGGTAAAACAGCCAAACACCCAAGGAAACTTTTCCAGTCTTTCTGAGAAGGGATAGTAGAGGCAAGGGATGGAAGGGTTTAACCACTGTTTCAAAGTTTGGCTTGGAACAGAAATCTGTTTTTTCAGACTTAAATTTAAAAACATTCCCTAAGTGTTCACCTACAGAGCATTAAGTCTTTCTATTTAGTTTGCTATTTGTGATTAAACAAAGTAATTTGTATCTCAGTATATTTTGAAATTAAAACATTTCCCAAAACAATTACTGGTATTCAGAGAAATGTGAGAAAACCAAAGTCTAAAGTGTCTTCTTAAAAAGAACAAATGTAGTCACTTACATGAAATGCTGCTACAAAAAATGTCAGAGCCAGAAAGTACAGGTTAGTATCCACAAAAATTCCTTTCACTTCATCTGCATCCTTTTCTGAAAAGCCTAGAAGAAAGAATAGATAAATGTAAAAGGAGTACCAAGAAATTAAAGGTACAACTACTATTCTACTAGACTGCAGTATAAAAGAAACACCCTACTTTACTTATGTGTATTTTTCTAAGTAACTGAATGCTAGACACCAGCTTTGTTGGCAAAAAATCAAATAAAAGAGTTTATCTACAATTTTGGACTGGTAATTTGGAAGTTATGATTGATCTTGACCAACCAAGAGAGATTTGCCTCTAAGTTTGGAAAGATCAGCTCTATAATAATTTAGAAACATAAGACTGAAAGTTACTTTGATTATTAAGTCAAATTCCCCACAATTAATGGGACTATCTAATTATGCTATTACATTCCTTTTTTCTTCTTTTTTTTTTATAAACTTAACAGTCTGGCTTAAAAGTGATATTTTTTTTGCTCCTTCTGGAAGACTGCTTCAGAGCTTGATTGTTCCAATGGTTTAGACTCTTCTCTTACTTTTCAGCTTAAGTTTCTTCATGGTCAGTTTATATTAATTTGTTCTTGTGCCAACAGTCTCCTTTACCTCACGTAGTTCTTTTCCCTTCCTGCTATTTACCCCTGATGTATTTAGAGAGAGCAGTCATCCACTCTGAGCCTTTGCTTGTTTTACCCAACTGAAATAACCTTCTTGTAAGAGTCTCCCCATCCCTCTGATCATCTTAGTCTGATACTGCACCTGTTCCAGGCTGTTTTTTCAATACAAAGAGAAGCACAAAATAGCACATAATAAATGATCTGTGGTGCTTTGAAATGTTAGCACGAATCCGAGAAAAAGTGTGCATACAATGCTGGAATTTCCTTGACTAGCATTATCCATTGGGCCATGCATGGGTCCCGTGCCTTATGGTTTTCTGAGCCATAACTCTTCACTGCAAGTCAAAGGCCTGTGCTGCTGAGGTCACCAAGAATGGGGATGGAACCCACACTGGGTTCCACCCAATGGAACCAGTCATAGCACCCACACTGACCAAATCTCAAAGATCCACAGCTACATAGGACACCAGTCCTCTCTTAATGTGGTAGTGTGGAACCCACAGTCAGTGACTGGCAAGCAAAACCTTCCCTGAACAGCAGCAGGGGAGGATTTCAGCTACCTTTAGCCAAACAGATTTAAGAATTGCTCTATCAAACTTTATCAAAATGATGTTGTCTGTGTTCACGTGAAGAGCCTCACCACCAGCAGACAGCAAGTGGAAATACCCTATGGGCGCCTATACACGAGCAGGGAGGCTGCTCCGATGCACTGGAATTCCAGCGCATTGGAACAGACTTGATTAATTGAGTCTGCTGGAGTGTGGCAATTACCGTACTCCAGCAGCCTCCTGCATCCCATGCATCAGCGTCCCCGCACTTCAGAATGGCAGTGGTGGAGTGCTTTATTTAAAGCTCGTTCAACAAGCTTTAGATAAAGCACCCCCACCACGATTTTGAAGTACAGGGACATGGACACATGAGATGCTCCAGGTGCTTTAATAAGAGCAGTTGTCAGAGCCACTCTAATTAAAGTGCTGCCTCCCACACACTCCTGGACCACATGTATAAACACCCTACATGATCCATTTACAAGATTTTTTGCAACCAGGCAGCTTGGAGAGATGCTTAAGGTCCCAAACAAGAAAAAGTGAGGGTTCAGTACACAGGCACTAAGCCATGGGCTAGACAGATGAAGGGGCTCCCACTACACCTCCAGCTGAAGCTTAGTTACTAGGTAGAAAGGAATACAATGTTCACAGGATCAGAAAGAATAAGATGCTAACTCTGTAAAGGCAGCAATGAGGGCACCAACAAGGGCCAAGGAATTGAAAGAAAAGAGAGAGGTCCTGATTCTGATTCCTGCTGACAACACTTGATGTATTTTATCCAATGATTTGTTAATGCAGAATGCATAAACAGTTCCTGGAGCAGGTACCAGAAACAAACACTCTCCCCACAAACTGGGTGTCCTCATTGCTGTATTAGTCATTGTCCCTTTTGCTTCTTCCCTCTAGCCCTGTAAATCTTACATTCCTGGCTGTACAGCTTCAACAGGTTTGTTGGAAAGTGCCCCAAGCCAGTGTATGATATTCTGGTGATTAGGGCACTCTCCTAATGAGGGCATGAATCCCTTTTGGATGTGAAGAACCTAGAACCCAGGGCTCCTACAGTACTGACAGCTGTGAGGGAAAAAAACCCATGACAATAAAAAAAAACCCTACACACTCTACCTGAAGCAACATCATGTTAGTTCAATCCAGCTCTGCAGCATCTGTGGAGATTGGGTGTTACAGCAGGACTTTTTGGCACTTCTAGTTAAAGCTGATTCAGTCTTAGATAAAAGTGCCCAAAAAGCCCCATTAAAGTGTCTGATCTCTACAGACATTGGGAAAGCCAGGTGTAACTAATGTACTGTCTCTTCTGGGCAGGGGCTGGGCTCAGTGCAGAAGCATGCTGAGTTTAAACCATTTTTCCCTCCCCACATCTGCAAGCAGTCCCAATTCGTGGGCAAGTCAACCAACCCCCAAGTTATTATATAAAGGAGAGCAACAATACTGCACACTAGGGGTGTGTGAAGCGGACAATATTTAATTCAGATTCGGCCAGATTCGGGGGACAGTGATTTGATTTGCTGATTCAGATCACTGTCCCAATTCAATTCAGCCAAATCTGAAGATTCGATTCTGATTCAGAGAATCAGCGATTTGGCCATAGACACAGTTTTGTATGGTTTTTCTATGTACCACGATGTACCAGGCATGGCTTGTGAATGCTGAGATGGTGGGGCAGATGGAGCGTTCCCTGGGAGTACTTCTGTTCCACTTTCACTACTGAGTACACGGAGGATCCCTCCCACACCCCAATGGCTTGGCAATTGGCTGCGGGGGGGATCCTGGGTACCCCCTTAGACCCAGGAGGCACCAGTCGCTGAGCCGGGGGGTAGTGGGGTCCCCCGCACACTCTGTGGCAGACCTGGAAGTGGACCAGAAGTACTTCTGACCCACTTCCGGGCCCACACTCCCGTGGAATGCTCTATCCACTGCACCATCTTAGTGTTCACGAGCTGTGCCTGGTACCTTAAAGTACGTAGAAGAAAAACCATGTAAAGCTGTGTATATGGCCAAATCAACGAATCTCTCCGAGTCAATTCGGAGGCTTCCGATTTGATTCGGAGAGATTAAAGGGTCTCCTGATTCAATTTGGATTCAGAGATTCGGCCACCAAATCGGGCCAAATCTCCTCCGAATCAAATCAGTGACCGAAGCTTTGTACAGCCCTACTGCACACCTATCTTCCAGAATATCCAGCTCTCTGGATTCTGTGTGGACAGAAACATCTAAGCCCCAGAGACTTGTGGGATTTCAGCTATAACCTCCGAGTTCAGCATCTCCCGTCAGCCTGCTCAAGGCTGCTTCCTGCTCAGTGCCATGCCTTTCTGAATTGTCCTTTGGAAACTACATAGGAAGCTTATAAAACTAATCCCATTTCTCGGACTCATCTCTATAGAGTCAGTGACTCATTTTTTAGGCACTCTAATTGCCTTTATAGGTCATGGAGATTAACCAACATGACTTCAAGCTCTGGATAAAATGGCTAATAATCTCTAGATACATGAAAGGCAATTTTAAGGAGTAGGGAGATATTACCCCAGTATATGGCTTTGCTGACATTATTGCAATACTCCTTTTTAAGAAGGACACTGAAAACAGGAGGGAATTAGAGAAGAACAACAAGCACATTCTGGGGCTCATTCCCTATACTCCCCCATACTGAGCTTTCTATCCAGCTTTAATTTAAACATGTAGCAGGGCCCTAAGGCAGCAATATCACACCATTTCTGGGATTTAGTGCATAGTGAGAGGTTCTTAGCACCTCCCCACGCTCATCTTGGAGGTTGTGTACACAAGCTACCCTCAGAGCCTGAAAAACAGGGTGTGCAACAAGGGATTCAGGAAGATAAAACTTCCTTAAAAAGCTTAATTTGTTTAACAGAGGACAATCATAGTCTATACATACCAGAACAGGGAGCAGATACTGATCCTAGAAGGTTTTTTTAAAGCTAGCAGGAAAAAGCATAATATAATCTAGTAGCAAGGAGCTAAATCAGCAAAATTCAACCTGGTGTTATGATGGGCAGTTTTACAGTGAAGGAAATAATTCCCAAGGATGATTACCAAGGCTGTACTAACATCTCCACCAAGTTAGTTGTTAAAACAGGACTGCATGCGTTTTGAAAAAGACTCAGTCACAAGTTTATTTGGCGAGATGCAGGAATTACTAGGTGAAATTATGTGACTGATATTATGCAGGTGAAAATAGATCACAGTAGTTTTTCTACTCTTAATCCATTTTCTTACCCCTCTATTTTAAGTTCTTATCAACAGACGTTAGAGTTTCAGCAGTAGTACAGAGCTCTTTTACACTAAGCAGACTGTTTAACAAGAAACCTTAGAATGTTGGGGGAAGACCCTGCATAGCCAGATATATGGCATTTTATAATGGTCCTGGGCAGCAGCCCAGAATCAGAAACTAATGAAGTTGACTTAACTCTACATTGCTTCTCCTTCTCCCAGAACTGTAAGTTTTGTGCATTTCAAAGACAGGGCAGAATATTTTTACCCTCTAATCTCCACATTTAAACAGACTGGAATATGGGTAAAGCTGCAAAAAAAAACTTACACTGTTTTGGAAAAATAAATAAACGAACTTTTGTGCCATATCTCCTGTATTTCCTCTAAATGGGTCTCCCACGCCCATGCCTCCCTCGCCACAGAAATCCTCCCTTTCCCTGCCCTTCTGCATGAGCCACCCCAGCCTGGGGCAGATGGCAGCCTAATTCTGGCCCTGAGCCCAGAGCTGGGGCCAAAGCAAGCACCTGCCCTAGGCTGATATTTGAATCTAAGCTGAGGCTCTTCCCCACTCTCCACCCCCCAATGTTGACTTAGGAAAAAACTCTGGATTTGAGTAAATGCAGTATATTGTTTAATACAGCTGAACCCCAAATGCTGTCAAGATGTAATTTATGTAGCTGAATTAGACACTTAGTAACTTAACTGCCTACTCTAGAAAAATGAAGAGTCCACTTACCAAATTGTTGCAGAGAATACACAGCATCTTGCATGTGGATCCAAAATCGGAGCTTCCCAAGGGATATTTTATCATATGACACTGTAAGAGGTAGCTCTGTCGTTGACCGGTTTATTATCTACATTTTGAAAGAAAACAATCTTTATAAAAATATGATCTACATATGTAGCAGTCATTATAAGGTTATTTTGCACTTTAAATCATACCGTGGTTTTATTACTGGTTAAACCTTTAGGATATTTAATATAGCCACTTTATTTTGCAAATGGAAATAAATACTGCTTACATTACTGCACTGCTTAATTTCCATAATAAAAAATAAAAACAGTAAGTTGAGAACCTGTACTAATCAGGTTTTTACATCATCTTCATTTCTGCAGCATCCAAGTACCTTCTGGAAGTGTTACATGTAGTTCATGTAGTAGAGCTAGACCCGGCCAGGTCAGGCCAGACCACATTTCCTTCCCTCCCCACAGGGCTGGGTTGAGGCCTGGTCAGGTTCCCCCCCACTAACCCCCCAGGGTCAGGCCACATCTCCTTGCCGCTCCTAGGTTCAAGGTTCAGCCAGCTTATGCTCCCTTCCCCACTGTGGGGACAGGCCATGCTCCTTTCCCTGCAGAGATGTTAGAACTGGCCTGTGACCCGACACCCTCTGTGTGGCTAGATAGTGCCCCATGAACCTACGCAGGCACTGGATCAGGATCACCAGCTGGATTCAGCCCATGGACAGACCAGGTACTGGCAGCCCACCAGGGAAAAAAGGTTGGGCTGTCAAGCCCATGGCTTTTCATGTCTAGTATTTACGAATTTTTGTTCCTAGGACCATTTCCTGAAGACAGTGTGTATAAGTACAAGGGCAGAGATGGAGTGGATTTTCTGTGAAAAAAAAAGTGATTCCCTATTTAAATATTAGGGTTAAATAAAAATAACTGTTCAACCTGGTACTGACCTTAGGCTGTATCTGCTGCTTAAACCTGAGGAAGGGCATTTAGCATCCAAAAGCCTATCTAACATCTCTCCCAACTATATAGATGGTCCAATATAAGATATTAGCAAACAAACCCTGCTTCTTGCATATTTTGTGAACCATCACGACTACCACACTACGACAGTTTTAAGGGAGCAAGCAGTTCATAACTTGCAAGCACGGACCTTACTTTGCATTTCCTGTTTTTCAAATGTTTAGCCACTCACCACATTTTGCACAGGCACAAAACACCACTGGAAAAATCTTAATTATGCATTAGTGAACTTTCTGAACATGTAACCAACATCTTACCTGTTCTTCAGATTAAATAACTGATTATTAGCTGCTGATACTTAATTATGAACTTCTCTGAGGTGGGCTGCTGCAATGAAAACTGTAACAAATTTCTAATAATAGCAATACTTTAAATTCATGTTATAATACTTCCAAAACATAAGTAAAAGACAGTCTACGACTCACCATTAAATCTTTCACTCTGTTGCTTAGTTGATCAATAAATAATATTGGAAGGTAATGCACGGTTTTCCCCAACTGAACCCTAGAATAGTCAAACATGGATTTAATGACTACATTGTTCTAGAAATAAAACTATTTTCTAGTCATGTTAGTATTAAGATATCATTTCTGGGCTCACCCATGTATATACTTTCATTGTGTTATCTGTTTTCAGACACGTACAACATAAAAGAAATCCCAGCCTAGACCTTCTTAATTACCTACATGTAATAAAGGGACTATGCTGTAAATGAAAATTAGACATTTGGGGTTCTCTTTTTTTTTAATTTCAATTATGAGGCTGGCAAAAGAAAGGCATGATAAGTTAAGAGTTCCAGGTATATATAAAATGTAAAGGAAAGATGAAGGAAATTGGCTGCGTGGGGGTATTTGCTAAAACTAAAACATGAACGTAAAAATGGCTGGCAAAGACAAGAAGCTGCCAGATCAGTAACGAGGCTGGCAAATACCCGCAACTGTGAAACTAAACCTATGAAATTAGTCTAACTTAGATTCTTGTACAGCAAGTCTTACCACAGAATTTGAATACTGAGCAAATGTAAGTGAAGTCCCCATGTCTTGTAAGTGCTGGGAAAAATTACATGTACATATCACCACTAGAGCCGCTCCATTTTATTGTAGACTATGCATAGATTTATTTGCTATCTGGTCATCTAAGTAGGGGTCTAAATGCCATAGTGGTACAAACACTTTGCCCTGTCCACACTACAGCTGCCACTGTCACCACTAGTGATATGTTTGTAATAGTGGAGGGATATATGCCTCACCAGTATAAATATAGCTCTGTCAAAGTCAACAGAGGTGCAGGGAAGAGCCAAGCAGGTACAGTACTGTAACATATCCCCTTCATAAACTTACTGAGATCCTTCTAGAAAAAGCTTGATTTTATTGCTCTTAATATGCTGACCAGAAAGCAGGTACAGGACTTCACTGCTCCAAAGGATAGAAACCTTCTTCTATGCTAAGAATGGCTAAAATATGAATGTCAGAACCAGGTCATCAGAGATTTGCCCGAGGTCAAATAGGAAGTTCATGACAGGGCTGGAAGCAGAATCCACATCTCCAGAGTCCTCATCTACTAACCTAATCCCAAGTCTATCCTTGATGTTAGCATCTTACACACTTTATTTTAAATTAAAAACCATTCTTAAGTAAGACTATTACAGCATTTCTGAACATCTAGAAGAATACCAGTCCCAGATATAAAACACGGAATTGGCACTGCTGATCTCCTACTAGGAATGTGAGCCATCCATATCCTGCATACATAATGTATCTAGATGGAAGCATTTTTAAGGTCAAGGGCTCACAGTTGCCTTCTTGCATTATTAAATTATATTTGTTGCACAGCAGGCACAATTACTTCCTTAGTATTTTGTAGCTGTATTGCTACATAAGAAGTGTTTTAAAGCATTTTGAGCTGCATGGTGAAATCTGATGAAGTCTTCATTTTTGGATTAAAAAAAATATATATCTAACAAGGGTCAAAGCAGTTTACACCAAGTGACTCAATTATTTAAATGCTGTTCACGTTCACAATCACTACTGAAGTGTAAGTAAAACGTTAACATACCCAGTCCTCTCTCACAAGCTCTGACTTTTAATTGTACACTTTAATATTATATTAGCACCGTGTGGGGTTTTCTGGGTTTTTGTTTGGTTTTTATGAAAGAGAAAGACCGGTTCAGTTTACACGGCTTAATCTATCAAAACAAACACATCATTGACTTACATCTTCATATATCGCTGAACGTCAGCTGGAAGAGAGGCTCCATCAAAAACAAAGTCATCAACCATCACATTCAATGTTAATCTTGATCTCCAATGTGAGACAGGCTCATCTAAGGCATTGGTCTGTTTTTCTGCTTCAATTTGCTTTTAAATAAGAGAAAAATGTAGATAATTATATATATTTGTGGCAAAATTAATTTAGAAAGACAAAGTTAAAAGCATTCAAATCCTGGACTGAGATTAGCTAAATCAGAAAATGGTTACAATTTAGACTAATCCATCAATATTTTTCTAGCTGTGCTGGAACTGAATATATGCTGATTGCTAGCTGAAACTAGAAAAAAATACAAATACATGGTCAGAAAGAGCTAAAGGGCAGATTTAACTGTTTACTTATGTTTGAAATATTTGTATGTTTGAATCCGGTATTTGGTTACTCTCAAATCCTTTTTCAAACAACAGGAACAGATTTTTAAAAAGCCTGAACTGATTCGATTTTTGCAGGTTAGTCTAACCTGCCTAGGTTGAACCACTTTGCAACCACACGGGACATTTCCTCTGGAATGAAGTGCAGGCACATGCCTGAAGAAGCTCAGATTAGAAGCTGGGAGGTGCTAGAGCAGCCCTCCCTTCCATTTCACATTGCTGGGCTGAGGCAGGAGGGTGGCCAGGCCTCAACATTACACTCTGACTAGGGAGAAGTGTAAACCCTAACCTGGCCTGCACTGTCCCAGGCTTTTCCCTGCTCACTGCTCAAGGGGCAGGACTGTTGCCAGCCCCCAGCCCCCAACCCCGGGGCCAGATCTCTGAGGCAAAGGTGGTGTGTGCAGTGAATCCATCTGTTGATCTCTCTGTCTACAAACCTGACAGGGCTGCAAACCAGCAGGGATCTGATAACACAGTGTTTATCAGCTGATCCACAAAACAAAAGCCTCTCTCATTAGTTCAAGCTCTTCTTAAACAGCTTTTTCCAAGGAAGGAACAGAACAACATTACCAGCTGACCTGTTGATTAGCTCCAAGAAGCCCCAAGTGGACACTGTTCTGTCTGCCTATCCCAATGCAACGGGACACACACACACCCCTCTAAGCATTAGCTAGCATACCACATGCCTAGGGTCTGTGCTGTGGGAGATGGGAGGGAGGGAGGGGGGAATCCCTGTTTGAGCAGTGAGGGAAGACAGGCAGACCCTGCTATGCCTGCAGTCTGCCCCAGGAGCTCTGGCTTGGGAGGAGAGGGGTGGGGCCAGCCCTGCTTTCTGGAGCAGAGATCCCAGCTCAGAGCTGCAAAGCATCTGGGATGTTGAGGGACTGTAGTTTAACCAGAGGGGTCTGGGACAGATATTTTATAAACCGGTTTGACCCGTATCAGTTAAGTCTGATACTACATTCAACCAGTTTATCTTAAACCAGTTTCAGCCATTTTAAAACTGGTTTATGTGCACCGAACTTATGCTCTGTTTAAACGTTTAAACCAGTTTCTAATCATTTAAACCAGTTTACGTGTAATGTCTGTCCCTAGCCCAGATGTTGATAGCAGCTTGATCTGTATCAGGATTTGGAAGACTGAAGCAAGACAAACTGCGTCAGGTTTATAGACCTGAATCTTTCTTAACACCATTTCCACATGTTATTTGTAACAATATCTTAGCTTCCAGTAGGCAGCTGACTGCAATCAGCTAGGATTTCTGAACAAAGTTGCTCAAGAAGAAGCCCTCATACCAGTGTTTGGACTGTGAACTCATACTCTTAAACTAAAGATAGCTTTGAGATTGTTTTGTTTTATTTCCTTTTATTCCTCTGCATTTTCATTTCTTTTGCCTCGGCCCACTGTGCCATATTCTAATATTTTCAGTGTTGAACTTTATCTAACATTAAGTGCTGTCCTAATATAAATCAAAATGCTGATGGGACCATCATTTCAATTTATTTCAAATTCCAAGAAAAAATAGGGTAGAATTTCCAAAAGTAATCCAAAAATCTTTATGCCTAATACTGAAGTATTATTAATGTATAATATCCATTAACAGTGGAAACCTGGATCTGATTATACAGGATGGCATTTTATCCATTATTGCTGCCTAGTTTTGCTGCTGAATACTCACTATGACCAAAGTGTCCATTTTACCCTTGGTTCCCCTTTACAAAAACATGAATAGTTTAATGGAGCTGGTAAGAAACCATGCTTTGGCCCCTTATTAATAGAAGAATTAAGTTCAGAATCATGCTTTATACATGTGACATCATTTAGATCAGAATTCACTGTATAAAAACCATGTTATCATGGCAGTGCCACAGGAAAGAAGACTTTTCCAGTAGGAAGGTGAGCTGGGGCGAGACAGCTGGAGAAGCTGCATCCCCCCACCCCGTGTTGCAGCAGGGAAGGGGGCAGAACTGGCAGCAGCATGGATGCAGCTTGCAGCTGTTCAGCCCCGGTGTAGCTGCTCACTGGCTGAAAGCTTAGCCCGTGCCACAGCCTGGGGAGGCTAGACGTTTTCAACCTTTTTTAATAAGTGTATCCCTGGCGGCCCCTTTTTTGGTAAGTGTACTCCCATGTGGGGGGGGGGGAAGTGGAGAACAGCTGGACATGGAAGCTGGGGGGGTGGTGAACAGCTAGACATGGACACGGGGTTGGGAGGGTGGCGAAGCGGCGGCTGCGCAGCGTCCGTGCAGCCCAGCTCCTATGAGGCAGCAGTGTGGGATGGCAGCGCTCTGTCCCCACATACCCCTGGGACCTTTAAAGTAACCCAGCTGACAACCCCTGGGCTAGGAGATGGAGAGAAGAAGCAGCAGCAGCAAAGGTGCAACTGCAAGTTGCTCAGCCATGGTGCAACTCCTCACTGCTTTGCTTGAGCCCAGGTTCAGCCCTCAAGCTCTGCGGACCAGATCCAGTGGTTTCATAGGCCAGATATGGCCCCCTGATCATATGCTGTCAACTCCTGATGTAGGGTACTTGCCTTTTCTGCCTCTCACAGCTGTGCAAAATGACTTAGTTTATACACTGCCATAACAGATTCTCCTTCTTAAGTCACCACTAAGTTATTGCGACCCCTAATAAATACTGATTGCTGTACACTTGCGTGTCTGCCTTTTAACAAGGACTTCAAGTAACAGATCTGACTTTTTACAGCAGTGTAGATTGAAAAGGATTTCTCTCTTCAAATGTACCACTGCCAGACATAAGATTGTAAGTGCAAGGGCCAGGAACATTTTCACACGGTATGAGTTAAATTGAAGGTTTGCAATGGCTACATTGCCACCACACTGTATCAGAAACTTACCAACTGCCACAGCTACTTTCACACCACTACTTTCATTCTAAGCACATCACTAAATTAAATTGTCTACAGCCAAGTTCTACATTACAATCAAACCTGTTCTGATCCTACCAAATGGGATGCAAACCTTAAGGATCTGGAGCACAGATTTCAACAATTACAACACAACCCCAAAACTGGAGCCACTCAAATCAGCAAAGCCAGACTCTAACCTGCTTCAACACTGACCCCTGGACAAGGAGAACAGAGTCCCTCTGGTTGTCACCTACAGCCCCCAGTTTGAACACCTATGCCACATCATTTATGGTCTCTAACCACCCTGGAAAAGGATAACCATCTCAAAGTAGGCATGGGGGACAAACCAGTTCTGGCTAACAGACAGATCCCCAAACTCAAGTGGTATTCCTTAAGCAACAGGCTACTTAACTCCCAGTCTCACCGAAGCACCAGGCCTTGCAATGGACCCAAATGCCTTCTGTGCCCCAACATCAATGCTGAGTACTAGAGGTACGCGAAGCAGGCCCTATTTGATTCGGATTTGGATTTGGGCCAAATCCGGGACAGCGATTCAATTCATTGATTCAGATCATGGTCCCTGATTCAATTCATCCGAATCTGAATCTGAAGATTTGATGCTGATTTGGAGGATCAGTGATTTGGACATAGACACAGCTTTAAAAGTTTTTTCTACATACCTCAAGATACCAGCACATCTTATGAATGTCACGATGCTGGGGCGCATGGAGCACTCCGCAGGAGTGTGTGTCCCTCCCCGTGCTCTGCAGTAAATCCGGAACTGGACCAGAATTATTTCCGGTCCACTTCCAAGTCCACTGGGAAGCGCGTGAGGGAACCCCCCTGCGCCTCCCCAGCTCAGTGATCAGCCACGAGGGGATCCCGGGTGTCCCCCCCAGACCCAGGAGGCACCAGTCATTGAGCGGGGTGAGTGCAGGGGGGGCCCTGCATGCTCTGCAGCGGACCCGGAAGTGAACCAAAAGTGCTTCTGGTCCACTTCCAGGTCTGCTGCTGAGCACAAGCCCTCCGCGCTTCTGTGGGACACTCCACGCGCCCCATCATTGCAACACTCGCAAACCGCCTGCTACCTAGAGGTATGTAGAAAAAACATTTAGAGCTGTGTCTACATCTGAATTGCCAAATCTCTCCAAATTGATTTGGAGGGTTCCGATTCAATTCAGAGACATTAAAGGGTCCTCTGATTTGATTTGGCCACCAAATCGGGCCGAATCTCTGCCTAATCAAATCAGGTACCGAAGCTTTGCACAGCCCTACTGAGTACATCATCACTGAACTAAATAACATGGCTTAAAACATCTGAGATTTTCTCCTGCAACTCCACCAATGTCATATATGCCATCACCTCTCCTCTACTGTCTACATTTGGCAGTTTGGGTAATCCCTACATTACGAATGAACGAACATCTGACATCAACTGCAGAAAGACATGCAGGCCTGTAGCAGAACACTTTAACCTCTGCAGACTCTTCATCGCTGAGGGCACTTGTTCTCAGATAAATTTTTTAAAACCTGATTTGAACAGGAAATTGCAGAACAACAAATCATCCAAAGACTGGATTGTGTTAGGCCTGGTTTAAACAGGGACTATAGATTCAAATCCCATTACCTTGGTTAGCTTTGGTGGCTCCTTTGTTCTCATAAGCTTACTGCTTGTTTGCTTGTCCCTCCCTGTACTGCCCCATCTCCCTCATCTTTTGTATTCTAATTTCTCTCTTAATCAGCTGCAGTGAAAGAACGTGCAGAAAGCAGACTATAAAGTGAGCATCAGCTCACAAAAGCTTGTGCTATATACAGCTACTCCACGCTTAATGTCATAGTTACGTTCGTGAAAAATGCAAATAAATGAAACAATGTTAAGTGAATCCAATTACATGTCGGTAGTTACCTACTAGCAGGCAGCAGCCAATCAACGTTATAACCAAACATTGCACAACTTTAAATGAAAATGTTCTCTAATAGATCAGTGACATAATAATGAAACAATGTTAACCGGGATGACGTTAAGTGAGGAGTACCTGTATATATCCGCTTTGGTTAGTCTATAATGAGGGTGTCAAACACACAGCCTGTGAGATGGATCCAGCCCACAAAGCCCTATAATCCAGCCCAGGATACTGCCCCTTTTGATGCAACAGACCAGCTCCCCTGTGCAGTGCCCAGGAAGTACGCTGCCCACAGCGCTTGCTTGGGCTGCACCACCCAAGCTGCTTGCTGCCAGTCCTGGGCTGCATCACCTCCACCTCAGTGCATGGCATGGCCTAGGATGTGACCCCAGTGAACAATGTAAGCAGCACAGCCCAGGACTGGCAGCCAGAGAGACAGCCTGCTGGGGCCAGGTTCCAGGCTGCACTGCCCACCGCAGTGGGCCAGTCCCAGATGGGACTGCCCATATTTCAGCAGGCAACACAGCCCAGGAAGTAGCTCCAGTGAGCACTGCAGGCAGCACAGGCTGGGACCAGCCCCAGGGCTGGCATCTTGGCCTGGCCTGGCCGGGTGCCACCTGTGCTGGATCAGCCGGGGGGGGCAGCAGCAGAAGGGGAAGAGATCCATGGTTCAGCCCATGGACCATGGATGCTGAACCACACTTCTCATCCTATGGGCCAGATGAATATTGAGTGTAAAACCACTGGTTTATAAAATGCAAATCTACCCTCCTTTCAGTAAGTTTCAGCACCATACATCTTAGCTTTTGCAAGGCTCTCCCTAAAAAGCACTACTTTAGTCACCAGAGGGCATTTATTTTAAGTCTAACATGAAGCAAAGTACATTTAGAAATCTCCCTCTCCTTAAGAACACCTCTAATTCAGGCTGCAGAAATCACCTGCTCAGCTTCTGCTATATGTTTCAAATAAAGCCAAATAATCACTTTGAAACAGTGCCCTAACTACCCCGGCCTTACGAGGGTACTATATGCAAGTGGATACCATCAAATCATTTGCTTAAGGTAAGAGCTTGAAGCTGCAGCTAATTTCAGTATTTACAGTAACATTTGAGACCTAGCAGAAAAGTCAAGGTTGTATCAGGCTATGCTAACAACAAAAGGATGCATCTTCCCTAATCTAGGCCTGAACACAATCAAAATAGCCCACAATCATTGATAGATCATCTATATTCAAGTTAACCAGATGTAACTTCAGGTCTGCCCATTGTCTTTGGAAGCTGTTATATTCCCTCTGTGATATCACTGCTCTATAATAAACAGTACAGTTATTTCCAATATACCAGAAATCTGATAGACAACTTGTTCAACACATACACAGTAAAACCTACATTTCTGCTATATTTTGGCAAGAAACCTTGAAAATATAATCAATGAAGTGTCTCAGTTCATTCGATCTAGATTAGAAGGCCTTTTTCCAACTTGCAAACATCTCTTCTGAAATCTTTTACATACAACAAAAACACTGTGAATTTTAATCAGGCCGAAAATAAGTGACATACTGCTGGATTGGCCAGCAAGTTAAATTTATTTGTCCTTCTAGCCTAAACAACTAGTAATGAATTACATGATTATGGCCTACAGGTTTCATGTCTTCAAAATCACATGTCCAGCAAGAATGTTTCTTAAAATTCTTAATGTTAATCTTGCAATGCATACATTGGAAGATGCTAAACAGCTAGCTTTAGTCTGGCTCAAAAGTGAGGCTGGCTTGCCCTTCAGATGTAGGGAACAGCCTGTAAAGCAGCTAAAGAACCCAAATCTCCCTTCTAGTTTTAAAGAACATGACATGGTTAAGGCCCCTAAAATCTGTCTGCACCACAGATGAAGAACTCATGTCCTAAGGTAGTATTTCACAAACTTTTCCATTCAACAAACCTTTATTCAAAACCAGATTTTCACCACCCACTCTTCATATTCACTAAGTAAAAACCATGGAATAGACAAGCATAAATACATTTGTGTTTTGGGAATAAAAAAGACAAAAAATATGCACTCTTGAAAGGAAGCATGTGCAAGGGAGTGATGTTTTCCTTGCTCTAGTTATAAAGCTTTCCATAATTCACCACATCAGACTACCTATCAGGACCTCTCCCACCAGGGTTAAATCCCGTTGATAAACATTCTCCTAAGGCATTAGTTGTATGGTTGCAATCAACTAGACCGGGTGTGTCCAACCTTTTTGAATGTGGGGCTGGATCATGAACTTTTTAGTACCCAGTAGGCACGTGAGCCATATTCAAAGACCTCACAGGAAGCGGTGAAATTCAGCAGGTGAGATTCTATGGCCTGCGTTACACTGGACGTCAGACTGGATGAGACAGAATCTTACAAGGGTGCCACAGAACTTCCCATCGCTTCCACCTTTAATGGGGTCCTTTTGAGTTATAAGAACAAAGCTTCTTATGGATGTACAGGATGGATGCACAAAGCTTCTAATGGATGCATGGGAAGAGCTGAGCAAGGGCCGTGATGCTGCAGCCCGCACATGCCGGGCTCTACAGGTGGAGCAGTCATGGGGCAGGGATCCAGGCCACCCAAGCCTCCCGCCCCAGACCCCGCCATGTCTTGCAAGCCCGCCTGGCAGCTCCCAGCCCAGAGCCAGCAAAAAAATAAAAAGGGGCTTCCTCTACGGGGAGGGAGGAGGCGGTGGAGGAAGCGGAGGCGGCGCAGCAAGCCCGGGCTGTGAGCCGGGCAAGGAGCAGCGCCCAGGCAGCCCTCGGCTGCAACTTCTCCGCCCACCGCTGGGAAGATGAACCATGCAGGTGAGAGTGGAGTGGGGCAGGTGCGGGGGCCCCAGGATGATGCCTCCCTCTCCCCAGCCACAGCCCCAAGGGGCAGAGCCAGATGCAAGTGGCGATTTAGTGCAGGGGAAGCTGACCGGGGAGGGTCTGGTGGGGTTTCGTCCCCGCTCCCTTCGCCCCACGTGTGCCCAGCCAGGCTCCGCTTGCCATCCATGGTGCTTGGCAACGCAAGCTCTGCCCAGGACCGCCCCACGCCGCACTGATGACCCATGCTTTCACTGTCGGCTACTCCTCTTCCCACACACACCGCATCGGCAACATTAAGCTGATGCGGTGCATGTAGGAACCCTGTCCCTTCCCCAGCCCTTCAGCAGCCATTAGGAAGCTGCTGAGGAGCTGGGGGAGGGACAGGGGGTGGGAACAAAAGTAAACAGCGTTTACTTTCGTTTCCTATCGCAGCACCGTGGGCCACAGAAAATGGCTTGGCTGGCTGCATGGTGGCCTGCAGGCCGTGTGTTGGACAAGCCTGAACTAGACCCATCCAGTTCCTCCTGACTGGAAACTTGCTTGTAGTGCTCTGACCAACACTCCTCCGACCCACTCCTCTGACAAAACAACCATCTGCTCTTTTACATATTAGTCTCCCTTTGGCACTTACAATTATTAAAAGCCACCTGCTATTTTTTTTTAATAACATGAAAAAAACACCTACCTCGGTTGCAGATTCTCCAGTGAGAAGGTTAATTTCTTCTGGTTTAGGAACCATATATGTGGTTAGAGGGCTTACTATATGCACTTGTTTGCCATCGTGCCAAGGCAGAATGCCCGCATGGTGAAGAAATATATATGCATACAATGTGCCATTATTTCGAGTTTTCTTTGGTACAGAGACATTGACTGTTCTAAAATACAAAATAAATACATAATAAAGTAGCATAGTAATATCTGCTGAAATAAAGACTACTATTTACTTTTTAAAGCGATACAATTGAGCTTTAAAAAGCATATTCAGAAAGGGCAAGAAAATTATCATCTCTTTTATATTTATATTAGTTTTACTAGAGACTAGTCCAGCCATGAACACTAACTAGCCTGAGAAGAAGGATACATCACAATAAAGCAATGCTACCTTCTAATACTGGTTTGCTTGAGATGAAGTTTAACATGAGCAACAACAAAGGCCCTTCTATTAGTATAAGTATAGGGGGGAAAGTGAGTACCTGAGAGACTAGCCTGAAAAGGAAAAGGCAGTTTTCTTCCTAGCTAAAACCCAGTGAAACAGCACAGGCTCTAAAGTAGAATGGTTGCTTAGTTTTATGAAACGCATGTATCTAAAATTCCTAAAATGTTAAACCAACAGTGTATGCTTCTGCACTGTAACTAGACTAAAATTGTACACACTTTCTCTATAGATATTCCTTTATTAGTATTCAGAAGTAACTACATACTTCAAGAACAAATAATTATATCACTGTCAGCACTGCAAAACTTGCAACTATATAGGAGCTACATAAAGAAGGATAACACTGAATTTTACCTTTCAAATTTGGATTCAAGATCAAAATCCTCCACGTTCAAAACAAGATCTATATTACTCTCAGCACCAATGTTTGACCGTGTAGTGGTATACACACTCAGCTGAAAAAAAGGATAAAATCAGCACATAGATTAAAAAAAGTTATTTCATGCCAGCAAAGTCACCTTGCACATCTTTAGCAGTTTCACTAACTTTCCCCTCATCAAGCTGCAAAACTATGGCAGCAGGTTACAAAGAACAGAGGAGACAATCAACCAAAAAAAATTAATTAGAAAATACAAAACATACTATTTTTGTACCCCCACAGATCATTATACACAGGATACCAATATGTACAGATACAAGGGTCTAACAGTGAAATAAACAGGTCTTTTTCAAAAAGCTGGGTATAACATTACAAACACACACAGTTGAATCTAGGTGTGCACCAATAAAGATTTTTTAGGCCAATACCAATGGCTGATTATTAATGAGCCATACTGGCCAATACTGATCCAATTGCCCATACGCAGCCCAGCAGCTTGGAGAACAGTGTCCAGCTGGTAAGTCTGTTGGGGGACGGGAGGGGGGAGTGGCTCCATCCCACTTGTTGCCTTGCTTCACTCTGCCCCAGCTGGGTAGCACCTGCCCCTGCTCCAGCTCCCCTCCTCCCTCACCATGGGGGCCTCAATATGCCCCCGCTTTCCCCTCCCCCCCACCCCCAACAGACTTAGCAGCCAGACGCTGCTCTCTAAGCTGTCGGACTGGCTGTGTGCGTGCTGTAGCTGCGCTTGTGCATACGGTATTTATTGGCGGCATTATCGACCACATCAGCCAAAAACAGCTGATTGCTGATAATGTCAATTTTCCTTTTATTGGTGCTGATACGATATGGACCAAGGTATCAGTACACCTCTATTTGAATCCCAGGTAGGAAACCTGATATCAAGAAATTACTAATACAAGCCAATGCCCGTGGCTCAACTCTACAGCCAAATCCTCTGGGAGAACAAAGAAGCCTACCCCAAAATGAGAGGGGAATGCTAGACAAGCTTTTGAGCACCAAAGGCACAAGGAGTGCCCGTTCCTACTGCAGCTGCTTCCCAGTCTGGCTCTGTACACCCCTCCTGGAAACAGGTGTATGTGGCAGGTTCACCTGGTGGCAGCTTAGAGATAAAGTAGACAAACGGAGATTTAAGAATGGTGACTCCCAACCCCAGTGCCGTCATATTCAGAAGAGTTATGGAGGGGTGCCTTGAATCTAAAAAAGGTCTAAGAGTAGGCAATCATTGATCCTCTGGATCATGGTGTACATGTAAAAGGTCTAGTCAGGTACCTGATGAATCTGCTTGTATGTAGTCCTGCACCAGTTACACCAAGACCTTTAGCATGTAAATCTAGGCAAGGCTATGGAAGAGTGGAGGCTGCCTAAGATCTACCATCCACCCTTTAGACCACTGAGACAGAATCCAAATGTCAGACCAAGTCCAGGTGTTCAGTGCTTCAATGGCTGTAGCTTCTGCCAGACAGCAACAGATAAGTACTGCTGCTGAATGTCTGACACCTCAGCAAGGTATGTTTCTGTCACGGTGATGTCCCTTAGTCTTTCTCCAACCAAAGAGTACCCACAAGGCAGTGGAAGCTAGGGTTTTGAGGCGCCCTATATTCATCTTACTCTGGAGGTTGTGACATTGTGGCATTTTAGTATTTGATAAGAGCTACCCTGCCACCAATTGCCCCATCATGTTGCCACCAGGCCCTCCAGTCTGATGCAGTTTACAGTCATGCCCAGGACCAAAAAAAAAAGCAAGTCCAAAAGGACAAGTCTACTCTGTGGATACAAGAGGTCCCACATTCAAATGGAGCCATGTCATGCGTCAAATATTCCACTCAATGGCGCATGTCTTTTCAGTCTGCCTTTTTAAAACTGAGGGCCCTGCTACATGTTCAAAATACAGCTGGATAGAAACTAGCTACAGGGTTGGCACACAGTGTCAAGCACTAACTTTATAGCTGGTTGGCTCTTTTTATAGATGGATAGTCATTTTTCTCGTGTGATAATTCCTTGGCATGTGCGGCCAGTCTAAATTTATTGCGCAACTAACCAGTAAATTGTGCGATATATGCAACATATGGCAGTGGCCATAGGAACTGCTAAGCATCAGCATTATGTACTTAAGCATGGTAAGTTCAGGAAATGCCAGAACTGACATGACCCGCACATCCTATATTCAGCCCCCACCGTATGCATTATGATAGGCCTTGAACACATCTCAGAGTGTGTTTTTTTTCCCTCTAGAGCAGTGTTTCTCAACCTACGGGTCACGACCTAAAAGTGGGTGGCAAGAATATGTGAAAGGGTCACAAACAAGCTTTAAAAGTTGATTTTCCTCTAAAGGAGAAAAAGGTGGGAAATAGCACGTTTTCCCTTGACAGACTGCAACCCCCCATGCCCCACACACACACTGGGGGGGCTGGGAGCAGCGGGTTGGGAGCAAGGGGGTCAAGGGCCTGCTTTCTCCTTAACCTAATTACTGGGTCGGGACTGGCCATTGATGTTTAGGAGTCCTGGTACGAAAAAGGCTGAGAAGCACGGCAGTAGAGCGTACCCGGCTCTTCAGGGTGAATGTAACACAGGAAATAAGCCCAGGCGCTGCAGTAACAGCAGGATTTTTGTTAGGCCCCTTTGGCTCTCCAAGTCAAGCCATGTGCGCACGGGGCACCCTTGCCACTGAGGCTCCTGCCCTCAGCCTCGCCACAGAGGCCTGCGCTGGAGACGCTATCCTGCCCCATTCCGGGGCTGCCACGGCAACGGGGGTTCCATGGGGACCGGTCCCCCATTCCGCGGTCGCCATGGCAACGGGGCCGGCGCTCACCTGCAGCTTGGGCCGCCGCGCCAGGTACGGCCAGATGCAGGCGGCGGCGGCGGCGGGGCAGGGCCGGGTGTAGACGATGCCATACATGACCCAGCACGTGTGCACCACGTACACCGCGAACACCCCCACCACCAAGCTGGTGAACTTGCTCCGGCTCAGCATGGCCCCGCCGGTGTCCCGTCCCAGTCCCCGTCCCGCCCCCCGCTCAGCCGGGCCGCGCCTGGCCGCCGCAGCCACCGCCGCGCCCCGGCATCCTCAGCTCCGCCCGTTGCGCCTCACTTCCGGGCGGCGCCGGAAGCCGGTGTGCCCGGTCCTGTCCCCGGCCGCCGCGTCAGTGCGTGCCGGTCACGTGCCCCGCGCGTCATCGCGCACCGCCAGTCAGCTGGTGGCGCAGGCAGAGCCCGCGGGTGTAGGTTAGACTCTCCGCCCCGGAGCGCTTCTCAGAGCCCCACCCGACAGGGAACAGGAACAGTAGCAGTAGTGGCCTAGAGCTGCAAGAAGGGGACACTTAGGTTGCAGGTGAGGAGGACTAGTCTATGAGACCGGCCAAGTGTCTTGTCTGTACATTGCAGGTTAAGCTAGAGCAACGCCCTTAAAAGTGCATGCACTAAAGCTGAACGCTTCACATCACGTGGGAACCAGGACAGCCAGAGCTGCTGCGCAGGAGACTAGCAATGCAAGTATAGCAAGACTGCTCCAGCTTTAACCCTCAGTTTAAGTCCCTCCACCTCTACCAGTTCATACGCATGTCAGAATTATAACAGGGCTGCTCCTTTGGGCTTCGAAGCAACTAGAACAGGCCGTGTAGTAAAATGCCTATCCCTGGAAACACTCAAGAGCAGGTTAAACAGACACTCGGCTGAGATGATTTAGTCAGGTATGGCAGGGCTCAACTCCATGACTTTGTGAGGTCCCTTCCAGCCGTACTTGGCTGTGAACCTAGGATGAAGCTGTTTTTATCTGGACTTTTCTAACTTAAAAGCTGAGCAAAATCCCGCCCCCCCCCCCAAAAAAAACCCAGCGACAATTCATTGC